CTCCCTCTCTCTCTCTGCCCTTCCCCTGCTTGTGTGCTCTCTCTCTCTCTCAAAAATAAATAAACTTAGAGAGAGAGAGAGAGAGAGAGAGAATCACCTGTTCTTGACAGTGCAGGGAGGTACAGGAATTCAAGGATGAGCTTGCCCCTGGAGAGGGAGACCCACCTCCAGCAGGGAGGGGAATCTCGAGGACCCTGTGCTTTCTCATACTCATCACAAAATGGTTCAGAGAAACTTAGACCAGTGGCTGTTGCTGAGGGATGTGATTGAGGAAATGGGAGGTGAGACTTTTCCATGTTATTTTATTTTTTCAAGTCCTATTTATTTATTTTGAGAGGGGGGAGGGGCAGAGAGAGGGGGCTAAAGAGACAATCCCAAGCAGGCTCCAAGCTGTCAGTGGGGAGCCCCATATAGGGCTCAATCTCAAGAACTGTGAATTCACAACCTGAGCCAAAATCAAGAGTCAGACGCTTAACCAACTGAACCACCCAGGTGCCCCAAGACTTTTCCATTTTAAATATTCCTCTGTATTATTTTATATATTTGTTGCCCACTTAATTTTTTTTTAATTTTTTTTTTAAGGTTTTTATTTATTTCTAGGAGAGAGAGAGAGAGAGACAGCGTGAGCAGGGGAGAGTCAGAGAGAGAGGGAGTCACAGACTGAAACAGGCTCCAGGCTCTGAGCTGGCAGTCAGCACAGAGCCCGACGCGGGGCCCGAACCCACGAACCGCGAGATCATGACCTAAGCGAAAGTCGGACGCTTAACCAACTAAGCCACCCAGGCGCCCCTTAATTTTTTTTTTTTACAAACACCATATTTTTAAAATTCAAATAGTTAGTAGACATTTTCTTTAAAACTGTCACTTTGTGATGCCATGAATTTCAATAAGTATACTGTTGGCCTTCCTCTGCTGAACTTGGACACATAAGTTGCTTCCTTTTTCCCTGCAAGCGAATTCGCCTGCCTCAGTGAGCCTTAATCTGCCTGAAACATTTCTGTCGGCTGGACACCGTCTCCTACCACACCACAAGGGTGACAGGAAAAGATAACAAAGTGCGGGAATGGGGACAGGCATGGCATTGGCCCATGTGTCTGACTTTGGGGAACCTCATGAAGTGTAATAAAAGAAAACCCCTTTCCTGTAAGGGGCTTTTGAACTTGTGGGTGAAGCAGAGGTCAGGGATGCCCCTGCCATGAAGGTGAGGCAGAAGCCTGGACCACAGGGAAACTGAGGCGGACAAGAAGGTCTGCCCTTCCCTTAAGACACTCACAGTGACATGCGCCTCTGAAGAAAGGTGATGCTGTTTTCACCTTCTGCTTCTCCTCCTCCTTTCAACAGTCAAGAGAAATTTGTTTAATCATATCGAAGGGGGAAGGGGAAGCTGTTTTTTTATAGCACAATGCCAGCTAAAACAAGTATAGAATAATTAAATTAGAAAATTTCCAGGGGCACCTGGGTAGCTCAGTCGGTTAAGCATCTGACTTCGGCTCAGGTTATGATCTTGCAGTTCATGAGTTTGAGCTCCACACTGGGCTCGCTGCAATCAGCACAGAGCCCACTTCAGATCCTCTGTCTTCCTCTCTCTCTGCCCTTCCCCCACTCCCTCTCTCTCAAAAATAAATAAAGAATAAAAAGGAACTTTCCATTATACAAACACCAAAATAACAATTGATACCAACAGGGATCATCAACAGATGCTAAAATTTTCAGCAGAAGATTCTAAGAGAACAGGATACTGACTCTTCCAATTACTTAATAATTATAAGGAAAAGAATGTATTCTTACAGTGGAGAGATATGGTAGACCCCTCCTCAACCAAGTGGCTGATTTCTGTATCACAATAATAGTGAGGGACAAAGTAGATACTGCTTCTCCGTGCGATGTGCTAGCGAGCCCAAAGCATTAAGTATATGGGGTTCTCGTCCAAGAGGTGTAGATGCATTTAACCATGAGCAAAATTAACAATTTTAGAACATAGGCCATGGAACATGACAACTGCCTTGTCCTCCTTAGAAAAGAAAAAAGCAATGTTGCTACCATCAACAATGACAACCAAAGGTAAGGAAACATTTTTGGTTCAAAAGGACTAACTATCCTTTTGAGCCCACAATGAAAAGACTTTTTAAGTCCAGTCCTAGAGGATCCGAAGGGGCTTCTCCCTCCATGCAGGAAGGAGAAGGTGCCCTAGAGCCACTTCATCTCTCTGCAGAAACTCCCTAGTGATGAGGAGAGAGAGGGTGATTTGTGCAATGGTAGTGGAAGTCAAGATCACTTACATTCACATGAATGGACTGACTGTCTCCATTCAGAGCCACACTGAAGACCTGCATGCCAACCCTTTGGCAGGCAGTGGAGAGAAGTCTCCCTCCTGGACAACTTGGTAGTCATAACATTGTCCATTTATGACCCCAGGTATATGCCATCCTCGCACTGGCTTTCAAGGAAGAAAGTAGGCGACACCAGGTATCTTAGTGTCCTGTGGCTGCCATAACAAAGTACCACAGACTGAATGACTTAAACCACAGAAATATATTCTCTACAGTTCTATATGCCAGAAGTCCACAATCAAGTTGCTGGGAAGATTGGTTCCTCGTGAAGATTTTGAGGGAAAAACACGTTCCAGGCTTCTCTCCTCAGCTTGTTCTTTTCCCTACGTTTCTTCACATGGTGTTCTCCCTGTGTCTCCCAACTTCCCCACTCCAGTATGACCTCATCTCAACCAACTGCATCTGCAATGACCCTATTTCCAAATAAGATCATATTCTTTAAGGTACTAGGGGTTAGGATTTTTAGGTATTGGAGGGGATACAAATCAACCCATAATACTAGGTTTTAGGGCATTTTACAAGAACCAGCCCCTGCCACTCGCAGTCTGTTCTGGAAGTTTCTGGTCCATTTTGCCTCCTGCTCTGAAATGCAGACCTCCAGGAAGTGGAGGAAGCCTACTTCTTACCCATCTCCAGGAGGTGGGCTTCTGGGGATTCCCTGGGCACACACATCCAGCACACTGCACAGACCCCCTACATCTTTCTGTTCCCCAGAAGCAAACCGAAAGCCGGAAGCAGAGATTCCGGCACCAGTTGAAGCAGCTGTACCATTTTCTGGAGAAGCAAGAGAAGCTCTTCATGGCCTCCCTAGAGGAGCTGGACCAGACCATTGGGCAGGTCAGGGAGTCATATAGCACCCGAGTGTCCAGAGACATTGCCCTTCTCGATGAGCTGATTGGGGAGCTGGAGGCCAAACAGTGCCAGCCGGAATGGGAGCTCATGCAGGTGAGTGTGGCTGGACCTGGCCTTCCTCTGCCTGCTGTGCCCAGTATGATGATATGGGCTCCCAGCACTGCATTCGTTCTACCCTAAACAGTACAGGACAAGAGTCTTATGCCCAGATCCCTTTGATGTGCTCTCAGGAGCCCAGGGTGTCCCAGCATTCAAGGGATCCCCTGGCATCTCCCAGAAGAGAAAAGCAGGGCTTAGGTGTGGTTCTGTTGCCAGCTCCATGGGTTGCCACTTTGGGTGATGAGAATTAGAACGAGGGAGAGGTGCCCCAGGTTTGCTGATACTGTAGGAATGAGAGCCCAGAAGGAAAGGCCAGGAATAAGCACAGTCCCTAGGAGACTGGTAATGGCGAGCTTCCCTCTTTTCTCTCCTAGGACATCGGAGTCACCCTGCACAGGTACCAAGAGACCCCCTTGGGTATCCTACAGGAAGCAGTGGGGGAGGCATTCCTAGGAGGGAGATCCTCCCAACCTCGGGTTTGTGACTCCTCCTGGGCTCCACCCATCGCCTCCAGCTTGCGAAGGCCTTTTCAGATTTGTGTAGGGCGATGGGAGTGTGATCAGGAGAAAGAGCATGGGCTGAAGCCTGGAAAGAGCGAACACACCTGAGGTGCAATGGTGGTCCCTAAGAAACCTCCCTAAAGATGGCAGTTTGCCTCATGGAAACTGTCCCTGCAAAGTGCCTCCCTCCCTGAGGCCACAAGTGCTTATGGGGAGGAAAGCACTTTCTAAGAGTGGAGATGCTAAGCCCAGCCAACAGGGGAGGGAAGGGAAAGGGAGAGAGGACGCTGGATGTTAACCATCATCCTGGGAGCTTCACAAAATCCTGACATCCAGCCCCTGGCACACACATTAAATCCAAATCTTCAAGAGTCTGACCCTGGCTTAATTTTTTTGGTCTTTTTCCTTTTTTTCGGTGGCAAAACATATATTACATGAAATTTACCATTTTAGCAATTTTTTAGATGTCCAGTTCAGTGGCATTAAGTACATTCATATTATTGTGCAACCAGTACCACCACCGTCTCCAGAACTTTCTCATCCTCCCAAACGGAAACTACACACTATTAAACCTTAACTCCCCATTGCCCCCTCACCCAGCCCCTGGCAACCACTCTACTTTCTGTCTTTATGAAATCATACAATATTTGTGCTTTTGTGCCTGGCTTATCTCACTTAGCATAATGTCTTCAAGGTTCATCCACATTGTAGACTGTATCCGAATTTCACTCATTTTTTAGGCTGAGAAATATTCCATTGTACGTGTACCCCACAATTTGTTTACCCTTTCATCCATCAATGGACAGCGGGGTTGCTCCCACCTTATGGCTCTTGTGATAATGCTGCTATGAATACTGACATACATATACCTGTTTGAGTCTCTGCTTTCAATTCTTTTGGGCATATACCCAGAAGTAGAATTGAAGTGTCATATGGTAATTGTATCTTTAGTTTTTTGAGGAACCATTATACTATTTCCCACCGTGTGTGCCCCATTTTACCTGCCACCAATGCACAAGGGTCCCAATTTTTCCAAGTTCTTGCTAATATCTGTAATTTTGATTTTTTCAAAACAACAGGAGCCATTCTAACAAGTCATATCTCATTGTGTTTTTTTCTTGTTTATTATCTTTTATACTTCAATAGAAAAAGACTAAAGAAGTGTAATTACTTTGACCTATATAATTCTGGGCTGAACATTTCAATACAAGCACCATTTTAAGGCCATTATTAAAACTGATTGTGGTTTTAAAAAAAAAAAACTGATTGTGGTTTTGATATCTGTGTTTTTAAAACCCCCCCTAGGTGATGCCAATCTGTAGCCAAAGTTGAGGACCAGTGTTTAAAACTCAAAGTCCAGAGAAGACTTTCTTTGCAAAGCCCAGGCAGGCTGGGTGTCCCTGTGAAGGCTACACCTTACTTCCAGCTCATAGGAATTTGGGTTACCCCTACGCTCCAGCCTTCTCTGGCCAATAGTATTTTTTTTTAATTTCAGAGAAAGAGAGAGTATGCGTGGGGGAGGGGCAAAGAGAGAGCGAGAGCGAGAGCGAGAGAGAATCTTAAGCAAATTCCATACTCGTTGTAGAGCCTGACTCGGGGCTCAATCCCATGACCATGGGATCATAACCCTGAGATCACGACCTGAGCCAAAATCAAGAGTTGGACACTCAACTGACTGAGCCACCCAGGTACCCCAACAATCTTTTGTCTCTAGGGCCAAGATGGTGACTGTCCCTAAGGCATGGGCCACTCCCCCAGAGGTTGAAAAAAAGATCCACTTGTTCTACCAGAAATCGGGGTTTGTGGAGAAGAGCATGAAGTACTTCTTGGGTAGGTGGGCTAGGAAGAAAATGGGAGGCACCTGCTCACTTCCTCCTGAGATCCATAAATCCCAGAAGCCCCTAGCATCTCTTCTCCATCTCCCACTGCCTTTCTGATGCTACCTTCAGCCTCTTCCTAATCTGTCCCTAGCCAGGGAACCTAACTCAAGCTCCCTTTCTTCTTTTAGAAATTCTGCATTCAGAAATGATCACCATCAATGGTAAGTATAGTGGTGGTATAATGCGCTTGCCAGGGGTTACTGGCATAGGGTTACATAAACCCTATGCTGGTGACTTCTGGGCATTGTTTAGAAGAGAAAAACACCTGTAACAAAGGCAGAAGAAAGCCTTCATAGGCTCTGTGCTGGACTTGTTGGTTGGATCATCTCATCAGACCAAGGCAGACCCTGTGGTCTGAGAGGAATGGGGTTAATCCCAGCAGAGGAAGCAAGGTCCTGACCTGGGATGGGGATCCTTGTCTATCCTGGTTGTGGTGACCAAGGTAGATTTAGCCTCTCTGAATTAGAATGCTCAGGGTTCCCCGCTTCCCCATCTTCTTTTTCTCTACAGTTCCAGAACTGAATTGTGCTCAGGCATATGCCGGTAAGTGCCCTGACCAAGGCAAGTGGCTTTTCCCTGCTGGGTTCTGGTGCTCACCTCCACTGAATTCTAGAATATCCCTGTCCATGTTTCCTGAAGTTGGGGAGAGCCCTGTGGGGACGCTGCCCATGGACCCCCAGACAGGTATTCTGATTTTCTCTGCAGTTAATGTGATTCTGGATGCAGAAACTGCCCACCCCAATCTCATCTTCTCTAAGGACCTGAAAAGTGTGAGACTTGGAAACAAGTGGGATCGTCTGCCTGACAATCCAGAAAGATTTGATAGTTGCATCATCACCCTAGGCCTTCCAAGCTTCCTCTTTGGCCGCCATTACTGGGAAGTGGAGGTAGGAAACAAGACAGGGTGGATCCTGGGTATCTGCAAGGCATCCATAAGCAGAAAGGGGAACATGACTCTGTCACCTGACAATGGCTGCTGGGTGGTGATGATGATGAAGCGAAGTGAACTCCAGGTGTCCACCATTCCCCCAACACGCCTGCAGATGACGGAACCCCCCAGACGTGTGGGCATCTTCCTTGATTACACCACTGAAGACATTTCCTTTTACAATGTAACAAACAAATCCATTATCTACACATTCACCGGCGTCTCTTGCTCTGGGCCCCTTCAGCCTATCTTCAGCCCTGGAACACATGATGGAGGGAAGAACTTGGATCCTCTGACCATATGTCCAGTGGGTGGCCAGGGGCCTCACTGAATGCCCAACACTTTGCATCTCTCTTCTGGCTCCCAGCCTTGTATCTTGAATCTGTACACTCAACTGTCATTACTGAACACCTACTGGGTTTCAGCTGCCGTGGGTAATATAACAAGAGAATAGGCCTGTGCCCAAAATGCCTATGGAATGGTAGCAGACATAAGCTAGGTACACAAATATTGGTTAAACAAGGGTGAAAAGAGCACATGTACTGATGATACTTCAAAGGAGGAAGTACATGGCTATTGCTTAATAAATCCTTGTTATGAATTAGCACCCTAAGATACCCCTGAGCCAGAGATCTCATCCTCATTTTCCCTCAGAACTCTATGGCAAAGATGTGTCCCCTCATTCTATCCCCCACTTTCTTGAGGACTTGGAGATCTGAGAAATAAATCAAGCAGACTGGACGGTTATATTTTTGTACCTGGGTTAAAATTTAAGAGCACTGGCTAGGCCTCATAAAGAAATCAATTAGAAAATTTGGTCATAATTGCACTCAATTTGTTGTGAGATCCCATTTCCCTACTGAACACCATGAAAAAGATGGAGCTGATGGAGTGGAAAAACACTGGACACAGATTTCAAATGTCAGCTTTTTAAAAAAAAATCTGGTCCTGATCTATGGAAAGTCTGTGGAATAGCAGGTGTTCTAGTTCAGAGATACTTCCCCTATCATCCCCCATTTAAAGGGATGCAAAGGGAAAGGATGTAAGAAGAGGGGAAAAAAAAGAATCAAATGAATATTAGACTCTAAACCCCTCATATCCCAACTCATCTTTCCAACTTCATGCTACAGCCTAGGCTAGACTCAGGTTCTCCATGGTTATGGCCAGAACATGAAACAAGGCCTTGGTTTCTTCATGGTGCTTTGTTCTACGCACATAACAGATACTCCAACACACTTCACATGTTCTATTTGCTTAGCTATTCCCAATTCTCCCTTGATAAAACCTTTCCATAAACATTTCCTTTATTTTTTTCTACCACTTCCCCATATATATTTTTTTCCTGTTATTCATAAAATGGCTTCAGAATGTGAACTATTTGATGACACTTGTTACAGCTGGCCATATAATCCTTGAGAAAGATTAAATAATGTTTCACACAATGTCTGTCATTTAAAAATTTTGGCTGACTCAATGGAGATGCAATGAGGTTTTACCTATGTTTTAATTTATTTCATTACTTGTTAGTGAGGCTGTGAATTTTCCATATGAACTCCTTCTACTTTTCACTTCATTCTACAGAAACAGCACAGTTCCTTTGACTACTTGCTATGTGGAATCTATTGAATTCAGCTGTCTGTAGTACTTCTTCATACATATTTTAAGTACTAAACATTTGTATTTGTAAGATGGAAATTTGTTTTTTTTTAAGTTGAGATATAATTCACATGCCATAAAATCAACCCTTTTAAAGTGTACATTTAGGGGTGCCTGGGTGGCTTAGTCAGTTGGGTGTCCAACTTTGGCTCAGGTCAAGATCTCATAGCTCGTGAGTTTGAGCCCTGCGTCGAGCTCTGGGCTGACAGCTCAGAACGTGGAGCCTGCTTCAGAATCTGTGTCTCCCTCTCTCTGCGCCTCCCCTGCTTGCGATCTGTTTCTCCCTCTTAAAAATAAACAAACATCAAAGTGTGTATTAAATGTGTTTTAGTATATTCACAATATGTACAAACACCACTAATCCAGAATATTTTCATCACCCCCAAAACAAGCCCTACATCTATTGGCAGTCACTTGCCATTGTCTCCTATTCCCAGCCCCTGACAATCACTACCCTACTTTTTGTCTCTGTGGATTTGCCCATTCTGACGTTATATGCCAGTAGAATCATACAATATGCGGGCTTCTATGACTGGGTTCTTTTGCTTGGCATAGTATTTTCCATGTCCATCCACGTTACATGATGCATCAGTACCTCATTCCTTTTTTTACTGTTGAAAAATAATCCATTGTATGGATATACTACATCTTGTTTAGCCACTCATCAGTTAACAGACATCTGGATTGTTTCTTTTCAGGCATTATGAATAATGCTGCTATTCATATACAAGTTTTTTTTGTTGTTTTTTTTTTTAATTTTTTTTTAATGTTTTTATTTATTTCTAGGAGAGAGAGAGAGACAGCATGAGCAGGGGAGGGTCAGAGAGAGAGGGAG